TTGATGATCGTGTTCATCGGTGTCAAAAGTAAGAGCTTGTCCTATATGTTTTCCAAGATCCCTAGTTGCTTCGGTAGTGGTTTTATATAAACTCGTTATACCACCAGTTAGATTTTCAAGAACACCTTGTTTCTTTTCTTTCTTCTCTTTTTCAATGGTAATTACCTCTCGTTTATGATCTTCAATGACTTTATGTGTTGCTTTATCAATTACATACTTGTCTGTAGCTTCTAATATTTCTTTTTCTGCATCAGCATCTCCAATTTGAGAAGAAAGATATTCGCGAGCTCTATTATATTTATCTCTCCATTCTCCTTCGTGTTGAGAAGCGGCATTTTTGAGATAACTAAGATTTACGGCTGTTGTCCACCAAGATGTTGATTCGGGTTTCTTTAATTTTTCATTAGTAGTGTATGTTTGGACGGTGGTTATTAAAGTTTCGGTTGATGGAATGTCCAGCTCTTTTTTAATAGTTTTACTCAATTCTATTTGTCCGTCTTTCTTTTGTTCGGAAATAATTTCTTTGCAGGTTTCAGGAGTCGTAGTTAGTTGAATAGCCGTAACTGCTGCTTTTTTATGTTCATTAGTTATTTTCTCTGTCGTTTTTTCAATTACTACTTTATTTGATGTCTTAATAATTTCTTCTTCTAATTCAGGATTATTAAGCTTAGAATGAAGATATTCCCGTGCTTTATTATATTTCTCTTTCCAAGTATTTTCGTGATGTGGTGCCGTAGTGTTAAGGTATCCAAGGGTTAGGGCGGTTTTCCAAATAGAGGTATCAACCATTTTAAGTTTATCATTTTTCGTGACATCTTGAGCTGAAGTAATAAGATCTTCGGGAGAAGTGACATCAAGTTCTTTAGTAATTGTTTCACTAATTTCGAATGAACCATCATCTTTCTGAGTGGAAATAGCTGTTTCGACGGTCTCGGGTGTTGTAGCTGATTGAATAGTGACGATTGCCGTTTTCTTTTTTTCAATAATAACCTTCTTAGTTACATTATCGACTACGTATTTATCTGTAATATTAAGTAATTCTTTTTCGGTTTCCGCATCGCCGATCTGCAAAGTAAGGTATTCTCGCGCTTTATTATACTTATCTCTCCATTCTCCTTCATGTTGAGATGCAGCTTTCTTAAGATAACTAAGAGTTAATGCTGTTTTCCACCAAGAAACTGCTTCAGGTTTCTTTAGTTTTTCATTAGTAGTATACGTTTGGACTGTGGTTACGACTTCTTTTGCAGGAATATCTAATTCTTTAACTATAGTCTGACTTAATTCGAAGCTTCCGTCATTCTTTTGTGTTGTAACAACTGATTTTGTTTTTTCAGGAGTGGCATTTGATTGAACAACTATTAAGGCAGCAGCTTTTTCTTGATGGTCGTGATCGTCCGTATCAAAAGTGAGAGCTTGTCCAATATGTTTTCCAAGGTCTCTAGTTGCTTCAGTCGCATTTTTATATATGCTTGTCAAGCCGCCAGTTACATTTACAAGGACGCTTTGTCTCTTTTCTTTCTTTTTCTTTTCAGTAGAAACCACATCTTGTTTATGATCTTCAATGACTTTGTATGTTGCTTTATCAACTACATATTTATCTGTGACTTCTAAAATTTCTTTTTCTGCATCAGCGTCTCCAATTTGAGAAGAGAGATATTCGCGGGCTTTATTATATTTATCTACCCAGTCCTCTTCGTATTGAGCAGCGGCATTTTTAAGGTAGCTAATATTTACGGCTGTTGTCCACCAAGATGTTGATTCTGGCTTCTTTAATTTTTCATTTGTTGTATATTTTTGTACGGTGGTTACTAGAGTTTCGGTTGATGGAATATCTAATTCTTTTTGAATAGTTTTATTTAATTCAATTCGTCCATCATCCTTTTGTTCAGATAATATCTCATCGCAGGCCTCAGGAGTAATAATCGATTTAATAACCGAAACTGCCGCTTCCTTTTGTTTATTAGATACTTTCTTCGTCGCTTTTTCAACTACTACTTTATTTGTCGTCTTGATAATTTCTTCTTCTAATTCAGGGTTATTAAGTTTAGAATGAAGGTATTCTCGGGCTTTATTATATTTCTCTTTCCAAGCGCTTTCATGATGTGGTGCCGTAGTGTTAAGGTATCCGAGAGTTAAAGCAGTCTTCCAAACGGAGGGTTCGATTGATTTAAGTTTATCATTTTTCGTGACATCTTGAGCTGAAGTAATAAGATCTTCGGGAGAAGTGACGTCAAGTTCTTTAGTAATTGTTTCACTAATTTCAAATGAACCATCATCTTTCTGAGTGGAAGTAGCTGTTTCGACGGTTTCGGGTGTTGTATGAGATTGGATAGCAATTATTGCGGTTCTCTTTTTCTCAACAATTACTTTCTTAGTTACGTTATCAACCACATATTTATCTGTAGTATCGAGTAATTCTTTTTCTGTCTCTGCGTCGCCAATTTGTAAGGTAAGGTATTCACGTGCTTTATTATATTTATCTCTCCATTCTCCTTCATGTCGAGATGCGGCATTCTTAAGATAACTAAGAGTTAATGCTGTTTTCCACCAAGAAGCTGATTCCGGTTTCTTTAGTTTTTCATTAGTAGTACATGTCTGGATGGTTGTCACGACTTCTTTTGCAGGAATATCTAATTCTTTAACTATAGTCTGACTTAATTCAAAGCTTCCATCATTTTTTTGCGTTGTAATAATCGATTTTGTTTTCTCAGGAGTAGTATTCGATTGAACAATTATTAAGGCAGCAGCTTTTTCTTGATGATCGTGTTCGTCCGTATCAAATGAGAGAGCTTGTCCAATGTGTTTCCCAAGGTCTTTAGTTGCCTCGGTAGTAGAGTCATATACACCCGTTAAAATGCCGGTTACATTTTCGAGAATACTTTGCCTTTTGTCCTTCTTTTCTTTCTCAATGGCAATTGCTTCTTTTTTATGTTCTTCGATAACTTTGTATGTAGCTTTATCAACTACATATTTGTCTGTAATTTCTAGTAATTCTCTCTCTGTATCAAAATCTCCAATTTGAGTAGAGAGATATTTGCGACCTTTATCATATTTATCTTTCCATTCTTCCTCGTGTTTATCAGCGGCTTTTTTAAGGTAACTAAGATTTACGGCCGTCGTCCACCAAGATGACGACTCTGGTTTCTTTAATTTTTCATTAGTGGTATATTTCTGTATGGTAGTCACTAGAGTTTCAGTCGATAGTATGCCTAATTCTTTCTTTATGGTCTCACTTAATTCAATATGACCACTTTCTTTCTGCTCGGATACCACAGCACGAGAGATCTCGGGGGTTGTGGTTGACTGAATGATCTCAACTGCTGCAGTTTTTTGCTCTTTCGCCACTTTCACAGTTGTCTTCTTAACAATAATTTTGGTCGAAATCCTTATAATCTCCTCTACTAATTCAGGGTTATTAAGTTTGGTGCTAAGATATTCTCGAGCTTTACTACATTTGTCTTTCCAAATACGTTCGTGATGAGGAGCAACTGTTTGAAGATATCCAATCGTTAGAGCAGTCTTCCACAATGATGAATCGATTGATTTGAGATTGTCATTAGAAATTGTGTCTTGAGCCGAAGCGACGAGGTCATCCGAAGAAACATCAAGTTCTTTCGTAATTGTTTCGCTAACTTCGAATGAACCATCCGCCTTTTGCTCTGAAACAGCTGACTCAACAATTTCAGGAGTAGTTGATGTCTGAATCGTAACTATGGCAGTTCTCTTCCTTACTATGATAACTCTTCTAACGACGTTATCAATTACGTATTTTTCTGAAACTTCTAATAACTCTTTTTCGGCGTCTGCATTACCAATTTGCGAGGTGAGGTATTCTCGTGCTTTATCGTATTCACCTTTCCACTCCCCTTCATGTTGAGATGCGACGTTCTTAAGATAGCTAAGCATTATTGCAGTTTTCCACCAAGAAACTGATTCAGGCTTCTTTAGTTTTTCATTTGAAGTGTGCGTTTGAATAGTAGCCACAATCTCTTTTGCAGGGACATCTAATTCTTTAACAAAGTTCTCGTTCAATTCAAAGCTTCCATCCTTTTTCTGTGCCGTGACGATCGATCTAATTTTTTCGGTAGTAACAGTCGCTCGAGCATCAATTAAAGCAGATGCCTTTTCTTCGTGATCGTAACCGTCAGAGACAAGAGCATCTTCTACGTGTGTCCCAAGGCTCTTAGTAGATGCATGTGGACTGCCGCCAAAAATGCTAGAAAATATGCCCTTCGTCCACGATCCTCTCTTTTCATCCTTTCCTTCTATTTTTTCTGCATAATATTTATTATTGTAATTAGACCGCAGAAAAATGATAAACTGAAGCAATCATATCATCTTACCTTGATAATCAGAGTCTAGTCCCTTAGCTTCTTCATCGACATTATAATTTTGTATTACAAATAATCTTGCAGACTCCATAAGATTTGATTCGACATCTTTGTTTTTAATTTGTGAACTCAACCATGAATAGGACTTCTCGTACCCGGCAGACCAATGCTCTCGATGATCAACCGCAACCAAACGGTAATACCATAATATTATTGCAGTAACTAAAATATCCTGGTGTAATTTGGTGGTTTCTGAAACAAAGTGAGATTTTAACGCGAGTTCCAAGGATTTCACAGAATCATAACCCAGAAGATTTGCAAGTTCATCATTTAAAGTATAGCCCCCATCTTGTGTGCGATAAGATAGAGTCTTTTTGATAATTTCGATGGTGATTGTATTTCTCACGTAAATAGTTTTTGTACGAACAATTAGCTTTCCATATTGATCTAAATATATCCAATATTCGGTTAATTTAACGCTAAAGAAAAAGACTCATTAACAAAATTAAGACATACCCATGTTCTCCTCCCTCAATTTCTTTTCCTCTTCGTCTTTTTTTACAGCTGCTTTATTTTCAATTATAGTTACAAAACTACGATCGGCCTCTTCAGCTTCCTCCCCCACTTTGTATCTTTCGACAATAGGTTTTCGGGCGCACTCCAATACTTCATTCACCAGCTTTGTATCTTCACATTGTCCTATCAACCATTCATACGATCTCTCGTACGAATGAATCCACTTTTGTCGGAAATTAAAGGTTACCAATCGCAAATACCAAATTGTGTAAGCAGTAACCCAAATGTTAACATGGAGGCTCGTAACGCGCTCGGTTTTGAAATAGATCTGAAGATATTTAGTAAATTCATCGACTGATTTGAATCCATAAAAAGCGGCGACTTTTTCGTTCATAGCCACACAGCCATTTTCGTCCTGGTAACTGATAATACGTTTTACATGGCGAATAGTTACTCTTGTTTCTATAAAATAAATATGAAATTGTATTTTAATTTTAGAAAACCCCCCGAAAAAAATATATATATCAAAAATACTGACCTTCCACAATTGTTGTTGTAATGTGGAATCTCTCAATAATGAATCGATCGCATGCTTTGTATAACTGGTCTACGGTATCGAGGTTGCTTACTTGAGAGGACAACCAATATTCACTATCGTCAACCGTAAATATCCATTCACTACGATGTTTACTACATAAGATCCTTAAATATGTAATGACAAGAGCAGTTGCCCATACATCTAAGCCGCAATTAACAAGGGTATCATCTGCGGAAACATGTTTTTTAAAGCTTTCTATCAATTCTTGCTGATTCTTGAAATTAAAGAATCGAGCCAAACCATCAGAAAATGAAAAGGCCCCATTAGCACGCCTCCAGCTGATGAGAATGTAAACATGATTGATTTGAATGCTCTCGAGTGAAAAAGCAAAACTTTCTTCAAAATCTAGAACAATGGGGATAAATTGAACGATCAAGTGTAAATTTCCCTTGCTTTCCTTGAGGGAAACCCACTTATCAAAGAGCTCTCCAACTTCGAACGAACCATCATCTTTTCTTTTAGTCAAAGAATTCACTTCAAAAGGGTAATGACCAAGAGGTCTGTCTTTTACAAAGACATTTTCGTCGTAAATCTCAAAAAAGACCTTTTCATTGACTCCGTATATAGGGACGTAATGAACTTCATTCCAAATAGGACTAACGGTTTCATTCTTGACGCGAGTTCGAACCATCTCTTTACCAGAGAAATTGACGATTCGAACATAAGGATCTGGTTTGGATGATGTGAACAAACTACGAGATTTTTCAAGATTTTTGGCAGACTCAATGTTAACCCTGAGAATACCAATTACATCCTCGGAAACGATAATTTCTTCTTCAATTTCGACATCAGTAGGACGTTCGATATCCCTAGTTTCTATAGCATGTTGGAAAGAACCATCTTCGTCCATTGTTGTCTTGTCAACTTCGAATCTTCTTATGACAAAATTTTTAGCGGCATCAAGAAGTTCGTTTCTTGTGTCCTCATCTTGAACTTGTTGACAAATCCAATCATAAGACCTTTGATATGTTTCTACCCATTCACCTTTAAAATCTATCAAGACAAGACGAATATACCAAATCGAAATCGCAGTACTCCAGACATGAATATCGAGCTTAACGGCTTTCGTGTATGAAGCAAAATGAGTTTCAAGATGTTTTTTCGCTTCCTCGGTCGAATTAAAACCAAGTGACCCTGCTAATTCGTTGTTAAGTTCGAAACAACCTGACTCTTTTTTATAGATAAGGAACCGACGGACAATACGTAGGGTAACGTTACGGCGAAGAATAATCGATTTCTTGGAAACGGCTACATGTTAAATAGACAATGAGGACAGATCGATATAAAAAATTGTACCATTATCAATTGTAAATTAATATCCTTACCAAGAACCCCCAAGGCTCGTTGTTGATCATCACTTTCCCATTGATTAACATTAAAATGTTGAATAACAAATCGATTTGTACAACTATTAAGACGTTCTTCAACTTCAAGATCTGCAATATTTTCGCTTAACCAAGCCTCACTCTTGTTATAAATTTCTATCCACTCGAGACGATGTTTCCATAGCAGCGCCCTAAGGAATGAAATAACGAGAGAAGTACACCACATTTTGCTATCCAAAGAACGAACTCCCTCATCATTTTGTATAAATGTAGTAAAGGCTTCTATTAATTCTTGTTTGGAAGAAAAGTTAAACAATCCCGCCAATGAATCAGTAGATTCAAAGTATCCATCTTGATGTTGATAAGTTAGGAGGAGATATAAATGATGAATGGAGATAGTGGTGGTAGTGATCTTAATAGATCTAACTTCTGATTCCGAGAAGTTGTAAAAAGCAGCAACAAAAGTTAATTTTCCTCGAGTTTTCCTATTAAGGATAAGATCGACATCTAATCTTGATTTCTTTTCTTCAAAAGATCCATCAGAAAAAGCTTTGACAATATCCTTGAGATCAAGTATATAAAATCCCAGAGGCGAATTTTTGAAGAAAACATTGTAATCATAGACTTGCATCTTGAACTTTTCGTGAAGGTCATAAATAGGAATATAAAACACTTGATTCCATATGGGATTGAGATTGTTATAAATTACACGTGTTTCACCGTATTTCCAACCGGTGGTCACATTAGAAATTTCAACGAATGGATCAGAAGAGCCACCACCAAGCCATGAGTCTACTTGCTTTAGACCTTTTGCGCTAACAATTTCAATTCTTGCGACACCAAGAAGTTTAGCTTATGACATGGAAAAGGACCAATAATAAGTAAATCAAATAATTTCGAATAAGAAAACTGATTTTTGATACTAATAATCCTTACCAATATCACGACGAGTAAACCGAGACTTAATAATTTTCACTTTTTGAGCAATTTCCGCCTCGAATACACGATCCCGTGATAAAACTTCTTCCTTCACTTCGTAATGTTCCCTAACAAATGATTTAATCAAGTCAAAAGCCTCTTGTTCAACAAACTCCTTACCTTCAAATTGTCCCCATAACCATTCGTAAGACTTTTCATATTGTTGAATCCATTCTTTCTTATGTTCAATTGCAACATAACGATAAAAATAAATTACAAGAATAGTGACTAAAACATTGATATCCAATTGTGTGACGCTTTCTGTTTTTGCATTTCTTTTAACATATGCAGTAAGTGATTCGCGAAGTTTCTCGGCATTATCAAAATTAAGTGACCTTGCTAGTTCATCGGTGATATTATATGACCCATTTTTATGCCGGCATTTCATAATACTGGCTACGGAAATTGCGACATTGGGCTTTGTCGAACCTGCGATAAAACAATTTCGTATTACAAAACATTAATGACGCAATTATACAAAATCAATGAACAATGACATACGTGGGCTATCATCAATATCAAATCTTTCGAGGACTGCCTTTCTACCAGTAGCAATTATGATCTCTTCGGTTTCCAAATCCTTATCTATCTCCTTATTAATATACTTTTCAGCGCGGTCGTAAATTCCTTTCCATTCACTCCGACAATCTTTCAATAAATATCGCAAGAACCATAAAATCATACTGGTTGTCCATATTGTGGAACTAATTTTAGAGATTCGTTCTTCGCGGGATTGTTTTCTGTACAATTCGAGCAACTTCTCCGGCTCATGAAAACCGAACAAGTTTGCCAATGTTTTTGACGGAGGAAAACTTCCATTGGATGCTTGTAAGGTGACGAGTACATATAAAGTGGAAATATCGAATGGCCTTTCTTTGAGGTTTGCAAGAAAATCTGGTGATGGCTCCGGAAGAGGTGTGAGCGGGAAGAATTTTGCCCGGTAATGGAGCTGACCTTTGTCAGAGAGTTTTACCCAGCTAAAAATTTTTTTAAATAATAGAAAAAAATGAACAAGGTTCGTCATAGTATTTATCAACGACATATTATATCCTGCTTACTTATCAACTCCGTTCGTGCCTTCGAAAACGCCTTCTGAAACTTCTTTCACTACTTCTTGGGTAATTTCAAGAGTACATCTGCCAAGAAAAGAGTGCCTGGTGAAACTGTTGTAATCCATCACTTCAAGTACGAATTTCTCTCCAATATTCTTAAGGGATAGATAATGGACTTCATTCCAAACAGGATTCAATTCATTCTCAATGTATCTTGTTTGGGCAATGATATCCTTGCTACCTTCACCTAAAACCTTAACGTAAGGGTCCGCTTTTCCTATTAAGTCAAAATAATTGATGTTATATATATACCATTAAATATTCATCATTTAACTCATTTGATCATCGATGTAACAATATACCTCCTCCAACAATTGAATCGACTCTCTTGAGGTTCTTTGCACCTAATAACTCTAGTTTGATGACACCAATCGCTGGTCCATCTTTTTAAAAGAAAATGTAATATTAATTTAATATATTTTCACTTATTTTGTACCAATGCGTGCTTATATATTTTTGATTTAAGACTATACCATAACTTCTCGTCTTGTGAAGTGGCAAAATGGTCCATTGAGAATGATTTCCACTCTTGCCAAAATTTTTTGATTGAGCATCAGAGAAAATAATATGTGCCCCGTCTTTGATGGCACCCTTCACTTCAATCACGTACTTAGTATTGCTTTGAAGAGCAATACGACCATCGCTGGTGAGAATCCATTTCTGGTTATTAGGTTGGCTTCTTCTGCTATGTAAGATTATGCGACTTCCCAATTTTCCTATTTTGAAGATTGAGTAATTTAAGAAAAATGGATACATAAAATTCCCCATATTATGGAAAAGCACTCAACAATTTTTCTCCTTACCATTTTCAGCCTCTAAACATAAACCTGATCGTTTATTAACTATCCAGCCATCCTCGTAGCTCCAAAGCTGATGATGATCATGTTCACTCTTTTGTTGACTAAGAACTACTTTGTTGCCATCTCTTATTGTAAAGGAGGTAAAAATACCACGTTCGATATCGACAACAAAATTCGAACTACTGGAAGGAATAGAAATATAAAATTCTCCCTTGGGAAACGGAACACTGGTCATTATAGCTTAATTATTTGGTATTCACAGATATAATAATCTGTTCCCGAAGAAAAAAAAAATTCTGCAAGGGCTTTTTATAACTCATCTTTTTTTTTTTTAATATTCAATTGATTAAGAAACTGGTGTGCCCGCATCTTTTTCCCATACGCAAATCGTCGGCTGAGGTATTGGCTAATCTCTTAAGGTTGCACAGCAATTAATTCAAACTATAATGAGACTAAGTGTTACGATGCGACGCGTACAATTTCTTAAGATTTTTTCTTTACTAATAATAACTGACGAAATTTCGTTAATTGATTGCGCATAATTGGTTTGAATGCGGCTTTTTGATATTCCGTTGTATCCAGACGATATCGACATCAGTCGTTAGAATATTTTTTTAAAGAAAAAAAAAAAAGGGCGAAATGTAAATACGCGTAAAACAGTAGACCGTCTGCTCCCATATTTGTTGAAGAAGATTAGCCAAACCTCAGCCAAAAGGTTTACACAATTTTTTTTTTTCCTGTAGTTGTGCATGTAACGAAGAAAATGTATAAATTATTGATAATAATTCCTTATTAGTAGTTTATAAAGAAAAAAAAAATACTTGGCTCACGATATATATGCATTAGTGCCTATTCATACTGTGAAACTTTATTTTTAAAGTTGGTAGGAAGATCCCTTGACAAAAATTTAAGTTATCGATGAAGTTTATTTATTGACAGGATGTCGATCGTTTTAAACTGTAAATTAAAAAAAATCCAAAATCCTGGAAGATAATGCCAAACATGGAATTTAAAATAAGCATGCGTTTAATGTTACACTTGGCACTTTTGCATATGAATTTATTTATATTTGAATCTGAGAGCGTTTGAATTATCTGGAAATTTCTTTCATAATAACGCTTATTTTAGAGTTGATGTTAATTCCATCCGAAATTGCCCGAATTTTTTTTTTCTTTGTTCCCGCCAACATAAACTCAGATGTGAATTTTGTAACACTTACTTTTTATATCCGAAAAAGATCTTTAGATTGATAAGAAAAAAGAAATTCCTAAACGTTCACGCCCACAATAAAATCTAATAATAGTTTGGTCTTGAAAAACCATAATAATAGACACGGTGAATCTAATAATCGAATATACAAAAATTGATTTATTATTATTTTATCATGTAAATTGATATTATTACTTGATTATTATAAAATAAATAATTAATAATTAAATATTTTATAATTAAAATAAAAATTTTTAAATAAATACTATCTAAATAATAAGCATAATAATAAAATTATTTTAATAAATTATTTTAATAATAATTTTTTTTTTTTTTTGCAATATATTAAGTTAGACTAATAATATAAAATATGGTTACTTTCAAAAGTTTGTGTTTACTTACTATATTTTTATTATAAATTTCAAGTTTAACAATTTTTAAAT